TTGGCCTGTAGCATTTCTGCTGAGATATCTGCTTACAGCCTAATGGGAGTACCTTTGTAGGTTATTGTCGTTTCTCTCCAGCTGCCTTTGAAAATTCTTTTTTTAAGTCATTAATTTTAGACAGTTTTAATGCAGTATGTCTTGGAGAAAGGTCTTTTTGTGTTGAGATAATTAAGTGTTCTGTTAGCTTTGTAAATTTGTATGTCTAGTTCTTTCCCCAGTTTGAGGACATTGTCTGCTATTCTTTTTTTTTTTTTTACATATGTTTTTATTGATTTTTAGAGAGAGAGGAAGGGGGGGAGAGAGAAACGTCAATTGGCTGCCTCCTCCACAACCCCTACTGGGTTATCTTACCTGCAACCCAGGTATGTGCCCTGAAAGGGAATCAAACCCAATACCTCTTGGTCCATGGGCCGACACTCAACAACGGAGCCACAGAGGCTGGGCTGCTATTAGTTCTTTAAATAAGCTCTCTGCTCTCCTCTCTCCCTTCTACTCTGCTCTTCCCCCGATCATTTCTAGATGCTGTCTTCAAGCTCACTACTTCTCTTTTCCATATGCTCTGCTCTATTTTCAGTGCTTTCTCGTGCATTCTTCTCATTTATTGAGTTTCTCTGCTCCAGAATTTCTGTTTGGTTCTTTTGTGTCTTTCTAATAGAGTATTCCTTATGTTCATTTATTTTATTTCTGAGCTTATTTAACGGTTTCTGAACTTTCTTGTAGCTTGTTGAGTTTCTTCATGACAGCTCCATTGAATTCTGTCAAGTAGGTAGCAGTCTCCCATGACTTTAAGTTTAGTTTCTGGAAAATTGTCATTTTCTTTTTGTGATATTGTATTGCCGTGACTTTTTCATGGAGCTTGGTGAATTGTTTCTCTGCTGGTGTATTTGAAGTAGCAATTATCTTTCTGGGTTGCCTCCAGTTATATTTTAGTTAGTGCTTTCCAGCCTCCACTGTCTTTGCCTGTTGTCTCTGCTTATATTTCCGAGGTCACCGGTGCCTCGCTGCTGTCAGTGTGGCTGTTCCTGGTACTTTTGGTCTTTGGCACTGCATGGTTCCTGGAACCTTAAATCATAGGCAGCTCCACCACTGCCCTCAGCCCTGGGGTCTTGGGTGCAGCCCCTGCTGCTGGGAGGACCAAGGTCAAGGTGCCACCACAGGTCCTGGAACCTCAGATCATAGGTGCCACCCCAGCTGCTGTGGGCACCAGAGTCTTGGTGCGGCCTTGGCTGCTGGGAAGGCCGAGGTCACAGCCACAGTCACCACTGCCATGAGGGTGTTAGATGAGGTATACCTGGGTCATGGAAGCTGCAGTGTTGCTTAGAACCTCAGGTCACAGCTGCCAGTGTCTGGACACATGGGTCCTGGGTGCAGCTTTCGCTACTGAAAGGGCTAAGGTTGTACCGGCCGCTGCTGTGTGTGGCTGGCTGGATCTTGAGCACTGCCAAGGGTTTTGAAGCCTCTGGCCTCTGATGGGAGGGCCCCTGTGACTCCTGGAGCCCCAGCCATGGGAAGTGCTCTGGTTCTTTAGGATGTAGATGGCCACTGCCACTCTGTGAGCTTCAGGGTCTTTGGAGCCCACTGCTGGGAGGGCTGAGGTTGCTGTTGCCTCCCCTGTTGGTGGGGTGGGGCCCAGGTGTTGGCTGAGTCTCAGGCGCTGCCATGGTTCCTGGAGCCCCCAGCTGCTGGCTCCGCCCCTGCTCCCGTGGCTCTGCCGCGCTCAGGAGTCCAGTCTATCTGCCTGCAGCTGTACAGGTGTATAGATCTCTCAGGCATCCTGATGTGCTGTGCTGAAGGTGGTGTTGGGCTGTGAATATCCTACTGATTGTAATTTAACAGAGAATGACAAAGGAAATGACTCATGCCACCATGCTGCTGATGTCCCTCCATATTTTTCTTTTATTGGTTATCTTTGTACTTATAACCTAAAAATATAATATGTTGAGTTTTCACAGTATACTTGGTACTGTTCTAAATGCCTTATCCAGATTATTTATTTTAATTCTTAAAACCAACTTGTGAGGCCATTACTATTATTTCCTCTATTGTACTAATAAGAAAGTTGACACACAGAGAGGTTAACTTGCCCATGGTAATACAGGGAGTCTGATCCCAAGTCCATGCTAGGTTTTGTTTTGTTTGTTTTTTTAAAGAACTTGATTGTGGCATAATTGACACACAGTACACTGCACATATTTTAAGTGTATATTTCTTCCCACTCCTACCTACCACCCTTCTCCTTAGTCCCCAAGCACCCGTGACACTGCATCTTTTTTCTGTAGCTGCTTTCTAGATGTTTAGATTTTTTTTTTTAATTTTTGGGTTTTAGCAGTTTATTATGTGTCTGGACATGATTTTCTTTAAATGTATTTTATTTGGGGTGTGCTAATATTCTTGAATTCTGTAAATGTATATCTTTAACCAAATTTTAGGCTTTGGCATTATTCAAATATTTTTTTCTGCCTCAATCTCTTTCTCTACTCTTTCTGGATCCCAATCACATGTTAGACCTTCTGGAACAGTTCCACAGGTCCCTGAGAGTCTGTTGTTGCTGTTGATTTTCTTTAATCTTCTTTCTTTGTGTTCTTTAGATTGGATAATTTCTTTTGTTTAATTTTTTTGTTGTTGTCGTTCAGATAGTGGGAGGGAGGGAGGGAGAGAGAGAGAGAAACATCGACGTGAAAGGGACACATGGAGTGGTCGCCACCCACACACCCAACCAGGGCTGGGGACAAACTGCAACCGAGGTACGTGCCCTTAGCGGGAACCGAACCCTAGTCTCTCTGGACCGCAAGCCGATGCTCTAACCGCTGAGCCAAACTGGCCAGGGCTGGATAATTTTTTTTGAACTACCTTTAATATTTTTAAGGGTCATTTTTATTTATTGTTGTCTTATTTTTTAATTTTATTTTTTCCATCACCATTTAGCCCCTGTATGCCCTCTTCCACCTCTATCCACTTCCCCCCTTCCTGTTTTCTTTATCTACAGTTCTTCTCCAGTTACAAAGAATAATAGGTTATGATTATAAGAGGTGGGCCCAGGCAATATTATAAAGACAGAAAATGAATATATAATAGCTACACTGTCATAAGGAAAATACAGACAGCACAGTTTACATCTTGTTAACGTTACTGATAATAGCATTAATTTACAGCCTCAAATATGGAGGTCTCATTTTTGCCAAGCAGTAGGTTAAGGGATTTACAGATGCTTCTTTTCAATCCTTGCCGCCACCCTTTGAGATGAGAGCACAGAGGCCAATGAGCTATCTCTAGGTTCATTAACTCTTTTCTCTGTCATCTCCTTTCTGCCACTGAGCTCATCCAGTGAATTTGTTTCAGATGTAGTTTTTTTCAATTCTGAAATTTTTATGTAGTTCTTTTTTTACAGTTCCCATTTTTCTGTTTTAATTCGGTAGTCTTTTTCTTTACCTCATGGAGTGTAGTTACCATAGCTCCTTTAAAAGCCTTTGTCTTCTAGTTCATTCATCTGCTTCATTTTGGTGTCAGTATCTGTCAATTGTTGTGTTTTCTTCCACAGTAGGCTACATTAACATATCCTTCAAGTGTCAGGTAATTTTGCATTGTATCCTGTACATTGAAATGTTATGATATGCAGACTCTGGGTTCTGTTATAAACCTCTGGGGAATATTGATGTTTGTTTCGGTAGATATACTATCCTGTTAATTCAAACTGTAAGTTTTTCTCATCTTTCATCTTATCTCCTTCCATCAACTCACTAATCTAATTCTCAGTTCTCTAAGCATTTGCTGTACATTTTGGGTCTATCTCTCCCATGTGTATTTAGGAGTTAAGTCGAGACGTGTGTGTAGTCATACCCAGAAATGGGGCAGCACCTTCTCTAGCTCTTTCCCTCAGGGTTATTCTCTCCGGTTTCCCTGGTTCCTCAGGCCAGGAAAGTGGTTGGGTTCCTATTGGAGTTTTAGCCACTTGTATTGTGAAGGCAAAAAGAGGAACCGAAGCACAGTAAAACTGAAAACACCCTCGTGTGGTTTGCTTTTCCAAATTTATAACAGTTTACATACATTTTTATTTTTTACTTTTTTCAGTCCTTAGGCAGAAGGTGTGTGTGTGTGTTGGTTTGGATTTAATGGTTGTAAATGGAAGGATGGGCTGTTAGGGAATTACACATCCCAATTTGTGTAATTTCTTCTTCATGTTGGTTTGTATAGTTTTAATAGGTGTGTTGGGAAATTATTACCTCTACTACCTTGGTAGTCAGTATTGTGTTTTTTCCTCTCATTTCAGCTTAACACTTCTTTTTTCCTCTATACTATCTTTTTGACATACTGTATTGATTAAATAAAAGAAATATGGTGTTTTTAGTTTTTAGCAGTTCTGTTATGTACAATAAGGTTTGTACTAATATTACATAATAGGAATTTTAAATAAATCACAGACCTTATATTATGGAAATATCTTGCTTGTATCGTTAATCTGTAATGTAGTTAGGTCAGGAAAATGTAACAGTAAATACCCACAAAAAGCAAGCATAGTCACTGTGACTTTCCAAGGGGTTTACAACAGATGGGGAGAAGTTAACAAAATTTATATATATATATAATTTTATTTATTTATTTATTTTTTTGGTATGTGCCCCTAGCAGGAACCAAACCCAGGACTCTCTGGTCTGCAGGTCGATGCTCCAACCAACTGAGCCAAACTGGCCAGGGCAAGAGTATATATTTTTTAAAGCGTTGTCTAGAATAAGGACACAGAGGGTTTTAATCCTGAAATAGTCACATGACTTTGATCATATGTGTTTTTATGTAGTTATTAAGATTTAAATGTCATGAGATTTAAATATTATTTTTTTACACGTGTTTAAATGCAGTCAAAGACACTACTTTAGTTCTGCCTTTATTCTTGTTTTCATCTCTGGACCATTTATATTTATTAATGACTCAACCCCGAATGTGTGGATGATGCTATTCAGATTTTAATACTTCATAATATTTAACTTATTTCTTTCACTTAGATGGTCTTCTGATTGTTGGTGTTCACTCGGCTAAGTTTCCAAATGAGAAAGTGCTGGATAACATTAAGAGTGCTGTTCTTCGATATGACATCACCCACCCTGTGGTTAACGATGCAGATGCCAGCCTTTGGCAAGAACTGGAAGTTTCCTGCTGGCCAACTGTGGTCATACTTGGACCCCGTGGAAACATGTTGTTTTCTTTGATTGGAGAGGGACACAAAGATAAATTGTTTTTGTATACTTCAGTAGCTTTAAAGTATTACAGAGACAGAGGACAGATCAGAGATAATAAAATTGGAATAAAACTCTATAAAGATTCTTTGCCACCTTCACCATTGCTATTTCCTGGCAAAGTCACAGTAGACCATGTTTCTAAGAGATTGGTAATAGCAGATACTGGACATCATAGAATTTTGGTTGTCAGGAAGAATGGACAAATTCAGTACAGCATTGGAGGTAAAGTTTGTTGCTAACTGTGATATGTAATGTATTTTTAGTAAAAAATTTCAAGGAAATGTACTAAAATTGAAATTTAGAAGTAACTAACTATAGAAGCGCAGTATACATTGACTTTTAACTTCGTGAAATTATGTTCTTAATGTGTGGTATCTGAATTACAGTACTCTCTTCTCACTCCCTCAGAAAACAAACAAAAATACCTGCAAAAGGCTATTGAAATCACAAAGAGGAAATCTTTAAGTTAAAAAAAGTTTTAAGTATATTTGTATATCTTATTTTGTTGTTTTTTTTTAAAACTACCCCGCTTAATTGTATCTTATAAAAATGTTACAGTAAGTCCTGCAACTTCAAGAGAACTAACATAACAAAGCAGATTTTACAGTAGGCTAACTGATGTAAAGAAGAGTTAAATGCCTGTGGCATGTCATCAACATTATAATAAAACAGTGCTGGATGTTATTTGAGGACCTACTCTGCTCTATGTGCTCTATGTACATTTTGGATTTGGGTATTTTAAATGGAAGTATGGTATTTCACTTTCCATCAAAATATAGCCATAACTTTCTTAAAAAAATTTTTTTTATTAAATTTTTTGTTTGTTTTGAGAGAGAGGAAGGGAAAGGAAAAGAGAGAGAAACATCCAGCATGCCCCCTAACAGGGTTCAAGCCCGAAACTCAGGCACGTGCCCTGACTGGGAATCGCACTGGCAAAACCGTACGGTGCATGGGGCGATGCCCAGCCAACAGCACCAACCAACCAAGGCCATGTCTTTTCTTTAAGACCAGCACAATGCCCTTGGAACTTGAGGCTTAGATTATAAAGTAAATAACCTAGAATTTGTATATAATTTTACTTTTCTTTCCTTCCATAAGAACTTATACATACTTCTGGGTCATTTCCCTTTGGATGTAGCAAAATATAAGTATCATTCAAGCATGGATCATTTTCCATGTGTCCCTGGTCTTTGATCTAAAAAGGGCTCTTCTTGCCCTGGCCGGTTTGGCTCAGCGGTTAGAGCGTCCGCCTGCGGTCCGGAGAGACCCGGGTTCGGTTCCCGCTAAGGGCATGTACCTCGGTTGCAGTTTGTCCCCGGCCCTGGTTGGTCATGCGGGTGGCAGCCACTCGATGTGTCCCTTTCACATCGATGTTTCCCTCTCTCTCTCTTCCTCTCTCTTCCTCCCACTCTGTCTGTACAAAAAAAAATGGAAAAATGTCCTCGAATGAGGATAAAAAAAAAAATAAAAAAATAAAAAAAATAAAAAGGGCTCTTCTTTATATCTACATAATTAATAAAATCTTAATTAAGTTTTTTTTTTTTTTTTTAATTCTGAGGGCAGGTTATTTACCTTGAAAAGACCATCTTACATCTTATCTCAAGCCCAACCTTTTTATTTATTTATTTTCCTCACCCGAGGACATTTTCTCAAGCCCAACCTTTATATTTATTTCTCTTCCTCACCCGCGGACATTTTGGCATAGAGCAAGAGGAACAGAGAGAAACATTGATGTGAAAGAGACACATCAACTGGTTGCCACCCACACGATCCCAGCTGGGGTGGGGGCAAACTGCAATCGAGGTACGTACCCTTAGAGGGAACCAAACTCGGGGCTCTCTGGACCGCCGGCCGACACTCTAACCGCTGAGCTAAACTGGCCAGGGCTTAATTAATTTTTAAAATAATTTATTATTAACAAACGTATTAGTCAAAGAGCAACATAATTCATCTCTGCAGTCCCACTTTAGCAACACATAACATTAGCACATGACACAGGGATACCTGCGTTGCTAATGCAGATAAACTAATCATGTTCCGTAGCCCTGCTGCTCCTCTTAGTATGCCAAGATACTATTCCTTTAGCTCTGGAACTTTTCATTTCCTGTTTGTTGTTTTTGTTACAGTATGTGTTTTATGTTGTTTATTTTGTTTTAGCAACTTAGTAGTTTGGTGTGTGACATGCAGTTATGAGAATTGTTACTTAAAACGTATCTGTTGTAGAAGATTGAATTTAAATGGTTAAAGGAGTTTTTAATCGATTTCTGTAATTTTCAAAATGTTGTAGGTAAATATTCTTTTTTTATTAAACAGAGAAAACTAGCAGCAAGCTAGCTTCCCCAAACATTTTCTAGGAATAGTGTTATAATAAATTAATAGTTATTCTAGAATTTTTTAAAAAGAATTCTGTGGTCAGATATAGTAAGGAAAAACTGGTTAGATGTAATTTAACACATTTTTGTTGGTGGTGGTTTCAGTGTACTTCTCATATCTTTTACTCTGCTAATGTATTCATGAATATGCAAGAGGGATTATAGTACAGTGGCTTCAGATTTGAAGTGACCACAGTTCTCTCCCTATTTTCCCCCTTACCAACAACAATAATGGTATTATTATTAATAATAACAGTAAAACTGTTGATAATAATATTAGTATAATGGTAATACATTTATGTCTGGCATTATTCTAAGCACTTTACCTATATTCATTTATTAGTCCTCACAGTGCTATAAGTTAGGTATATTATTAGTTCCATTATACAGAAGACAAACTGAGACACAAAGAACTTGCCTGGACCCTCAGCTACGAAGAGGTAGAACTGGGATTTAAAGCAAGTCTGTTGGGCTCTTGAGTTTATGTTCCTATCTACTACATTATGCGATCTGCCTTACTAACATCTTGTGGACAGTGGAGTTCTTCTGCAAAGCATAGTTTGGAATTGCTGACTTAGAGACTTTGAACAGCTTTTCCTCTTGTCAAAAAATAACAATTATATTTCATTATGCTGTGTACTATCCACTCTTGAAACTGCACGTGTATTACAAAAGCTGAGAAGTAGGCCATTAGACCTGAATCACGCTGTCTCTCTTAACGGTGTTTATGACATGTAGTATTTTGTGGCAAAGTGAAACAGGAAATGAAGAATTCTTAACCTATTGTTCATGGACTATTAAGAAATGCTTGAATAGACTTGAGGATCTAGGAATCCCTTGAAATCATCTGTGACATTTTATGGGTATGTGTATTTTTCTCTAAGGAAAGGGTTCATAAATTTCATTATACAGTTGGCCCTCCAACAATGTGGAGTTTTAGGGGTGCCAACCCCTCATGTAGCCAAAAAGTCATAACTTTTGACTTCCCCAAAACTTAACTACTAACAGTCCGCTGTTGATCAGAAGCCGTACTGATAACATAAACAGTTTATTAACACATATTTTGTATATATGTTATATACTGTGTTCTTATAATAAAGTAAGCTAGAGAAAAGAAATGCTTTATAAGAAAATAATAAAAATACATGTACAGTATTGAAAAAAATCTAGGTAGAGAGCTCCTTTCTACTGATTAGACAGGATGCTGCCTGCCTGATTCATGAATCATTCAATAAAGTCAAGTAGATCTTTAAATTTAAAATAAATGAGCCCTGGCCAGTTTTCTCAGTGGTTAGAGCATTGACCCACGGACCAAAGGATCACGGGTTTGATTCCCGGTCAAGGACCTGGGTTGCAGGTTAGATCCCTGGCCCCGGTAGGAGTCGTGGGAGGCAAACAATGTGTCTCTCTCGCATTGATGTTTCTGTCTCCCTCCCTTCCTCCCACTCTTTCTAAAAATCAATGGGAAAATATCCTTGGGTGAAATTCAACAAATAAATAAATTACATAAAATAAAATAAATGGAAAAAAATCGTATGTAAGGGGATCCAGGCAGTTCAAACCAGTGTTGTTCAAGGGTCAGTGGTATTATCAAATGAGCATATCTTCCCAAATTGTTCAGTATCATTCATCTAGATGCTAAAGATTAAAATTATATTTATTCTTTCTAGTGTAGGTAATAGGTAATTAAGATACTTTAAAAATATTTTTTTCTAGTATCTGTTACTGCAGAATCAGTGCACTAGTAGTCTTTATTGAATAAGCCTTGTCATTAGCAACACTTGTTACTCTTGAGAAAAACAAGTATCTTAGGAAATGTATCAGGTAGAAACATTGTTATTTATATTAAAATCCCAGATTTAGATATAAATTTTGTTTGGGGGGTTTTATTAAATAGAAAATTTTGTCTTATGACTATCTTGTCTTTTAGGACCCAATCCTGGAAGAAAAGATGGAATATTTTCAGAGTCAACTTTCAATTCACCACAGGGTGTAGCCATAAGGGACAATATCATATATGTGGCAGATACTGAAAACCACCTTATAAGAAAGGTAATTTTCCATTTTAAATAAAGTGTTTTACTTCCAGTCAGAGAAGGTGATGCTTAAATACCTCAGATCATTCTTATGCAGAAGAATTGGTTTTAGTTTTATTTTTAGGTGGCTTGTTTTTCTTTTTGTCACCTGTCATTGTCTCAGAGAATAAAAGCATCAATCAAGTCCCTTTTTTTTTGTCCTTTGTTTCAAAGTCACATGCCTAATCACCCAAAAGCTCCTCATTTTGAGGTATTTTCCTAACCACTGTTTACAAAGTGCTGCTTTGTCCTTTTAAAAGTTAAATTTTCTGAAACCTAGAAAAAAATAATAATTATACCATTTCCTGCCTCCCTTCAGCTCTTTGCATTGAATACAAATACTTATCAGTCAATAAGTCTTAAAATTTATTTGATCTCATGATAAAAGTAATATATGTGATCTTGTTTTAAAAAATGAATTCATACGTAAAGGTAAAAAAAAGTCCCCTGATAATTTATTTCAGTTCCCCACAGGTAACCAATCATTATTAAAATGTGTGTCTTTTCAGAATCTTTCTACTGAGGTACAAATAAATTTATAATAAAAAGACTGACTCTAGATAGTTATTATTAAAACAAATGGTAGAATCCTGTACTTACATAATATGCAGTCTTTTAAACTTATTTTTCCGTATTAGTCACATGAACGATATGACTGCATCATATCCATTGTAGAATGCTGTAGTTATTTTAAACATTCCTTATTGGTGAACATTTTTGCTGTAATCCAGTGGTCTTTAAATTGCTGTCATTTTTGAAAATAAGTAACCAAGTTGATCTAAAGATTCTAAACTATTCTGCCTAAACATTGTTTCAGATACTTTCTTGCTTTCCTTGCTGTTTCTCTTATCAATATTTATCCCTAATGTGCATATAACAGGAAAAAATATATGTAGAACATATAATATCCACTGTACTGTAAATCTCCATGAGGGTATGAAATTTGTTTTCCTTACTTCTGAAATCCTCCATGGAGAACAAGGCCTGGCCCACAAAAGGTGTTCAATAAATACTTGCTGGACAAATATCTGAGCAAAGAACATCTTTTTAATGAAGCATTTCCTAAAGTGTATATTTCTCCTAATACAAAAAGATGTTACATGAAAAAAGGATTTTGTGGATTTATAAATTAAAGCACATTTAGTTTTTTTTTTTTAAGTCTTAGAGACTATCTTCTTAGAGACTTTAATATGTTAATGTGAATACACTGGTGAGGGTATATGTGTCCAGTATTTCTAAACTTACTTGATCAAGGATCCCTTTTTAGGCAGAATTTTTCATAGGACTAATTATTTCATGGTATGTACTTTGGAAACAAGTGTTTTTCTGTTGTTACTAAGTTCTTAAAGTCAGGATTTATTTATCATTATCTTTTTGGGGTTGTATACTTCTTTAATTTACCGTATTATTACAGATATCTAACAGGGTATTGAAGTAGTGAAATATTTACCCTGCAACCTTCAGGGATACTTGTCCTTTTTTAATTGTCTGTTATTTCTCTTGCTTTAGGACTTATTGGGTTTTGGAGTACTGACTGCTTATGGACCACTTGCATATCTTCTTTGAAGGAAGGGTCTCAGGAGATGAAAGCAGAGCTTTTTCCCCAGTAGAATGCATTATTCTTCAGTTTATGCATAGAGGCAGTGTAGTGGTAGTAGAGCTAGAACTGCCTGTGTTCAAACCCCAGATCCTGGACTTACTGGCTATAGGATCTTGCGAAAGTTACATAATGATCTGTGCCTCAGTGTTCTATAAAACAATGAAAATCACAGTCATTGTGAGAATGAACGGATGGATAACACCTGGATCAGTACCTAGCACATACTAAGGTCTGTGTGTCAATTACTAACCAAGAATAATTGAAATACACTTAATTTTAAGAAACATGAATATTTTAGATTATGCTTTAAATTTTCACGTTATTTTAAAATATTTTATAGTTAAGATGAAACCAGCACCAGTCCAGTACAGGCATGACGAGGGAGGCGGGTAGGAGGAAAGGGGGGGAAGATGAGTGAGGAAAGAAAAGGACTGAGTTTTGTGCTTTTGAACAACAAGATCACCCTATACTTGATTAGCCCTTTTTTAAGCTTTTACATTTAAAAAAAATTTTTTACGTTAATAGACTTAATTTTTTAGAGCAGTTTTTAGATGCACAGTAGAATTGAATAGAAAGTACAGTTTCTTTTACCTATTGCTCCTGTAAGACTCCCTGACCATCAGCATCACACCAGTGTGGTCATTTGTTATAATTTTTGAACCTGTACATCATTATCACCCAGAGACATCATTTACGGTAGGGTTCATTTTATGGGTTTGGAAAAATGCACCATGACCTGTATTTGACCATTATAGTATCATACAGAATAGTTTCACTGTCCTAAAAATCCACTGTGTTCCACATACTCATTCTTCTTTCCCCCTAAATCACAAGGATTTAAGCTTTTTTTTTTTTTTAAGAGTATGTGTCTTACAAACACTTTCTATGTGTTTTACTGAAAATCTTTATGTAACAAAAGATACTAATAAAAGGGGACATGCATTGCATAAGACACGTATTAATTGCTGTAGATTGACCTGGAAGCTGAGATGGTGAGCACCGTCGCCGGCATCGGGATTCAAGGCACAGATAAAGAAGGTGGAGCTCAAGGAGAGCAGCAGCCCATTAGCTCCCCGTGGGATGTCGTTTGGGGGTCATCAGGTAGGTAAACTTTAAATATTAAATATAAGAAACATTGCTTAGTAAATGTAAGATTTTAAAAAATATTTTAGTTACATTCATTTGGATTCATCCTGTTGCTAGTAATTGTATACTTTTATGCCTATGGCTTGAGTTTTAGTAATTGTGTAAAAGCAAAGCCAGCAGTAATGTATAGAAGATAGAGTATATTATTATCACATATAACATATATAACATTATACGTATATTATAGTTTATACACAAGATAATTATTCTAAATTTATGTTAAAGAATTTCAGCTGAAGCTTCTAATTAATGTAGTTCTGAATATTCTTAAATTAAAAGAATTATAGTTTCAGAACTTCAAAAGATTAATAATTATACTTCCCAATGTCCTTTTTATTCTAATTTGAAAAAAAAAAATTGTAAAATGACAGTTGCTTTTTTTTAGATGAAAATTCGTGTTGAACCATGATAAATTCTTTTGAACAATTAAAAAAAAAAAACACACTCTACTGAACTATGTATGTATTGATGATAATAAGATTGACATATCTTTACGATCTATATTACCTACGTTAATTGACTATAAGGTGACCCAGAAGCATAAGTCTTATCACTTTCCTCAGTGATACTAGGATGGTTATCTACGTGTCTACAACCAGTGTAATGAATAAAGTAAGTTAGTAGAATACATTGAAGATGGAATTTGAGACTAAATGGTTTGTATGGTCTTGATATACTTACAGAGTGAATAATCATCAGTTAAATGCATTTACACTTGAGATAATTTTCTATTATGGTGCTAGTTTGCTTACAATTCAAAGACCTTAATTTTTTTTTTATCCTTACCTGAGGACATTTTTCGATATTTTGTTCAGATAGAGTGGGAGGGAAAGAGAGAGAGAGAGAAACTTCGACGTGAAAGGGACACATCAAGTGGTTGCCCCCCATACGACCCAACCAGCGCTGGGGACAAACTGCATCCGAGGTACATGCCCTTAGCGGGAACCAAACCCGGGTCTCTTTGGACCGCAGGCTGACGCTCCAACCACTGAGCCAAACTGACCAGGGCCAAAGACCTTAATTTTTTCATTTGATTAACTTTTTATAAAGTTTTTAATGTTCATAAAATAACCAAATGAACTTCTGGTACTACCTGTACTTAATATATATAACTTAGGTATTGTGCATATGTTCCTTTTGAGATTTCCTGTTCGGAATTCTGTGTTGCAGTAATCATAGTGGGGAGGGGTTGGGAAGGTAGAGGGAGCAGCACGTCCCAGGTGCAGTCAGTAAGGACATAGATTACATGTAGAGAATTTGAAAACAGTGGTGAAACTAACTACAACTCAATCTTTTTATCACCATGCATCAGCAATTCTAAACAATTTTAGGGTTAAAAATACTCATTCCCACCTGGACTTACCACTCCTGCCTCCCTGCCACTGAGGTATTTCATCATAAATCTTAACATGGAAACATAGTCTGAAACATGCTTATCAGTAAAATCGTCATAGAGGATGAGAATTGTCACTTTGGTGTGCTGTTATTCTCCCCAAGGAAAAATATGTCTGCCCTTAGTGTATGAGCCCCCAATGATTTATAGCTACCAGTCCATATAGAATTCAGTTACTGATTTTTACATTTTGCAACTTAACAGCCTGTATTTACCGTGTCAGTAACTACCACATTAATGCTTCATAAGAAATCATTCCAAAACTCATACAAACCTTAATCTTTATTTCTCGCTCACATATGGGTTTGGGGTTTGGCAGATCAAGGCAGAGTCTAGGCTCAGTTCCAAGGTGTTTCTTTGAGTGCACATCTGCTCCATTTATTTCTCCTCCTCCTTGAACCATTAGCTTCCTGAGCATATTCTTTTGGCAAAAGGCAGGAGCACAAGAGAGTAAGCCCAGTTATGCATATTAAGCCTTTGCTATGTCATATCTGCGTATCTACTGTTATTAAAGCAAGTCACATAACTAAGCTCAAAGTTATGGGGCAGATAGGCACCTTGCCTATAATGAGGCCATATCAAGGGTGTAGGTATATAAGGTTACTACAGAACAGTGAAGAATTGAGACCAGTAATTCCATCTGTCACATTTATCAGAATTTACAGTGCTTATAAACAGGATGTACTTTACTGGATGCTTTTTTACTAAGTTGGATTTATTTAATGGCCAAGGAGTGCTTAAATATTTTTCTAGGCTAAAAGTTTTTCAGTCATACTTTATAGCATGGGATTTCTGGTTGTTTGTCTTGTATTGAGAATGCACCCAAATTGCTGTCCAAGGAAAATCTTGGCTCTATTGACAAGTACTCCCTCAGTTCCCAGCTGGAGTGACATGCTATCAGCGGCTTGTGTCATTATTAAGCTCAGTTGTCAGTAAAGGAAGTGAGTCCTACCTGACTGAGCTCAACAGATCATTATGAGCATGTGGCTCTTCATTTAACTTACAGCTTAAAATAGCTTCACTTCAGGTACTTGGCAAGAGGAGTAATCTTGAATGCACTTAAGCTCAACACCTTTCAAAATGCTGGCTAAGAGAAAAGGGGTTCCAAGCACTGTTTGAAGGTCCTGTAATCACAGTGACTACTGTAACCTGAGAGTTTTGTCCTTGAGTCGTATGCCCAAGGCATTCATGCTTAGGCTTTATAAGGCATTTTCCCAGAAATTTGTTTTAAGATTTGGGGGAACTGATCAGATTCTCATCGAGAGTTTTGAAGTGCTCTGTTACCAAAACCATTTTAAGAGCCACTAATTTAAAGTACTCTAAAATCTAATCCTGGATTAATGTATTGTCAGAGTATGGATAATTGGATCATAGAATATTTGCTCTCTTTACAATTATTTTTACTAAACTATATTTTGGCTACATGTCATTCATTAAAAAATAGATCAACACATAAAATCACATTCATTTATATTTATATGTTTGTGCATGTGTTTTATATTATGTATTTCATCAAAACACTGCCCTATGAGACTTTTTCCTGTTTTTACTATAAGAATTGCTGGTGGTTTCAATTTTTATCGTATAAATAACCTCTCTGATTATGGACTGGAGAAATTTTTTTCTGATCTCAGTATTATAGATAGTTATACTTTTTCCTAAGTATCAGGTTTATTTTTAAGCTCCTAGAAAACTTGAATGTAATAACTAATTGTGTTTGTATTGTTGCATTGATTGCTAAGAAACTCAGAGACAGATTTATCTTTAGTAAGGGGTAGTGGAAACATGACATTCAGTTTTTGATATCAGTACAACTGCATCACTATTTCCACCCTGTTGACCAATTGCTTCAATTTTCTTTTTTTTTTTTTATCCTCACCCGAGGACATTTATTCCATTTTTTGTTCAGATAGAGTAGGAGGGAGAGAGAGAGAAACATCGACCTGAAAGGGACACATCGAGTGGTTGCCACCCGCATGACCCAATCAGGGCCGGGAACAAACTGTAGCCGAGGTACGTACGCGCCCTTAGCGGGAACCAAACCCAGGTCTCTCCGGACCACAGACCGACGCTCTAACCGCTGAGCCAAACCGGCCAGGGCTTCTTACTGATTTTGAATGCATTCATCCTCTTAGGGTTTATTTCTTTTGAGTTACCTGAATTCTTTGTATAATAAAAGTAGAAGTAAATACACTAGAATCTCTTATTGAAGTGATTAGCTCTGATTATTGACCTGTTAGAGGGAAGAAAAAACTATTAAATCAGAATCATAAAATTAAAAATGCTTTATTTTAATTTAAGAATTATAAATGTACAATTTTTAGCCAATCTTTGATGTAGGACCACCCCTCATTCAAGAATGGTATGACTTCGCTACATTTCTTTATTGAGTCTTCACAAAGTATTCAACTTTATTTTCATAGAAACAACTTCCTTTTTGCATTCATATTGAATTGGTTCATATAAATTTAAATTACATAATTATATACCTGGTTTAAACAGATTTTGAGTTAAACGCAATTTGAAGGGGATTGTGGCTAAGAAAAATTGTTCTTGTAAATACTTGAGTTTTTAAAATATTTTAAGAATTTTATAAAATGTTTCTGAAATGCTACCATAGTTAGGAAATTGAGGGTGGAATTATCAGGAGTAAAACATGGAAAGTAGATTAGGTATTGTGATATCATCATACATTAGGCTGTTCTTCAATGCAAATAATGAACCATGCCTAGCAGCATGGTCAGAAGGAATCTTTTGAGTGAAAAAAGCAAGTTACAGAAGAGACCCACAATGTGATTTCTTTTATAGAAAGTTTAGTAGCAAGAAGACTATATATTAAGAGATGAATCCAGAAATAATAAAACTAAAAAATAAGAAAGTGAAAAGAAATTGTTTAGACTGGTTTCTTCTGGAAAGGGGAGTGGGGATATAGTCATAGAGGGATACAGGAATATTTCTTCTTGAGCTGGGTGGTGTGTATATGGATGCTTAATTGTTATTTAAACTTTGTATCCATTCATATGCATATTTAATTAAAAATTAAACCCTAAAAAGCAGCAAAATAGATTGGGTAAAGAGAATGAAAAATAACAAGGACTAAACTATAGTTAAATATATACTCTACAAGAGACCCAGTTAATAAATAAAGGAACTTGAAATACCTCTTACTAGTTTAAACATACATATAATATGTAAATGTTTGTGTATATATTTTTAAATAGTGTCTGAATATTTAACTTAATTGTGCCACTACAGTGATAAAATCATAAAAATAATTAACATAAAAGTGATTTTTACAAAAGTGATTGTTTATTCTTTGTTGATTTTTTTATTATTTCTTTAAATACAGTCAGAACCACACAATGCACTAAAAATAGTTACTAACTACAGTAAATTCATATTTTTCAGCAGAAACTCTGCCATGTTTCTAAAATGCATGACTGCACTCATGCCAAACAATAACCTGAGAGATTTTTTATCATAAAGTTCAAAACCCTGCTAGTCTCTAAGTAGACTTTACTGATTTAGAATCATTTATAGAAAGGATAATGTGCCCAAATCC